GGGGTATACCAAGAGCACGGGGCATACCAAGAGCACGGGGTATACCAAGAGCCAAGAGCACGGGGTATACCAAGAGCACGGGGTATACCAAGAGCACGGGGTATACCAAGAGCCAAGAGCACGGGGTATACCAAGAGCACGGGGTATACCAAGAGCAATCATAAGTCACACAACAAACAATGGAATGTGAAATTCAATGGAAACTTTTACGACACTGTCATGGGGCTTGTTTTGGTGAAAGATGCATCTTTTTTACCTAAAGTACATTCTTGTAAAAATCTCTATTTGTCTCATCAGAATCCTCCAGAATATTTGGTTTGAGGACAAGACATAAATAAAAATACGAATTATAAAATTATTCAAGCTGATTCTCTGTCACGGATATGTGGATCTTGCAGCTGATTTTATCCTGAACAAACAACAGTTTTTTTCTGATTGGAAGGCTCTCGCTCACACTAGAGGTAAATTTGCAGCTGCTGTTATTAAGGAATGTGTCAAACAATCTTGCTAGTTTATCCATTCTAATTCAAATGCTTCAACATTTGTTTTATATTTCAGTCCAAAATATCTTTTACTTGAAACTATGATGCAAATTCAGCTCATCTAGGTAACAGGCCGCAGGACGGTGGGTCAGGGCCTCCCTTGCAAAAAGGGTTAGGATGACAAAGGATTCTTCAGCATTTACAAATCATTTCAGGAAGGAGCACCAAAAGATCCACAGCTGCAGTGTCCAGTTCTTCAATCTGAAAAACCAGACACAGACTTATATGTCAGCAGATGTTAATGATTGGCATTCCTATTCCTGCGCCGCGGCCCCGACAGATAGGCCTTATCGCAGCAGTGAGTGTTTATGACACCATGAGAGAGGCTCCATGAAGCAGGCAGCAGGGCTATCAGCTCCGCTTCTACACAAACACGCAGACAAGCACTCGCTGCCAGTGGCTCTGCATGCACATCCCCTGGAATGAGCCGCAGGAAGCATGGCTCTCAGAAACTGCATTCTGCAAGACCACAAAATCGGGGACTGCATTTGTGAGAAAGGAGATGATCGATACACAATAAGTGGGATGTAGTATCATACAGAAGGACGTTGGTTTTCCTGCCATACGTGCTGCAATAGTGCAATAGAAATAACTGTTCTGGTTTGGAAAATTATCCTCAATATCAGCCAGACGAGCTGTATTTGCCTGCACCAAAGGCGTAGGCTTGGATTCAGCATTGTTAAGGGCCAAATCAACCCCCAACCCTGCAAACACACAAGGCACTCCCACAACATGTCCCAACCCTCCATACCCAAATCTACAGCCTTGACCTGCACCCAAAAATAATAAACGTAGCTATATTCTAAACAGCTCAGTTCTTTTATTTTTGACATTTACCTGCTTGAAACAAGCACACTTTCTTTTCATCATATAACCAAAACACACGTTGCATGCGATATACTTTTCAGGCCTATTCAGCCATAAGGAACAGTTGTAAGAATGTGTCCTTACAGGAGTAATTACAGAACACTCCCATACAGCAGTAACTATGCACAGATTCTATGTTGCGTATATTATATCATGGAGAGTGTTTCAACTGTTCCAAACGTGCAACACAAAGAGTAATTCCATATGTTGCCTTGGAAGCGATTCCAAGTCAAGGTCTGGACATATTGTGCAGAAAGCATGGTGTGAACGCATATATTCCCCGAGCCTACTGCTACCTGCGGGTTTCATCTTCCACAAACTTCCAGGCTAAGCTCCGGGAAATGCACAGCCCACCAGATAGGGGGTGCTGTAGAGGCACCCCAGTTGGCCCAATGCTTGTGAGAGCAGCTGTCAAGGCTTGGTCACACTGAGCGCTCTGCCCTCATGGACTGGGAAGGAAGCGAGAGCCGGTAAACATTTGTCAGCCACATGCCATCCACGGCCTGACCTTTGACCTAATGTACAGTGTGGCGCACTTACTGAGCCCCCCGAGGACAGGATCCCCAGCAGAGCGCGCACTAACCGGGAACAGAGTCACATAAACGGGGCTCAAATAGCAACAAAAACACCGGCTAAATAAATGCTAATTCTCTGGAATTTCCTTAGTCACACATTTAAGTGATAAAAGATGTTTCGTGGCCATACAAATGAAGTCATAATTAGGACAAGCGATTTTGTCCTTTTGCCCAAGACTAGCTATATTTGAAAAACACAGTTCACTCTTCTAATGAGCCATTATACAGCCATCGCACAAAAAGTCCTGGGTTGACTTTCGGACCTTATAAATCACACTCTGGGGGTGGGCCGCGGCGATGGCCACGCTCAGCACAGGCCAAGGGAGCAATCACCGCCATGCTCTCGGCCTTGTTTGGGGCCGAAGGTGATTCATTGCCAGTGGATCGTGAAAATGACAGCTGGCGCCGTGGCAACCTGTGACCTCCACACGCGTCCCAAAGGCAAGATGGAGGACTGCCGAAAGTGCATCAGTGAGGATGAAAACGCCCCAACCCCAAATGTCTGCGATCACGCTTTCACGAAACACGTCGCCCTAGCAAAACAACAAAGAGACAAAAAACATTTCATAAAATATCCTAATTCAATTTGAAGAGCAAGAAAAATACGTTTTATGCGTTTTATTGTCATGAAACAAATCCGTAGTCTGAAAACTATGTCAGAATAAAGGGGTACGATCTTCAGTGCCAATTTATTTATAAGCCGGCCAAATTATACACACAATAACAGACAGATAATGCAAAACGTCTGGGGGAGAGATGAGGAGAGGGGAGGCCACGTGTACAAGCAGAGGGTTCACCGTCCGCCTCGCTACACCTCCTGCTTCTGCGCATCCACTCAGGGTGACATTATGGCGTGGAATGAGCCCCGTTTGTGCTTTGGGTTCCTGTGAGCACACACCCCACCCCCCACCCCCCCCCCGG